AATTCTCTTCTTCTCTCTCTCTGTGTGTGTGTGTGTGTGTGTGTGTGTGTGTGTGTGTGTTAGGCATTGATGCGAAAACGTAGCATTCAGGTCTTTGTTCTACTTAAAATCAATTTACCTGCTTCATTTTTTTAAATATTTTACCCCTCTCGGCGCTGTTTTCCGATCTCTAGTTCCTAGAACTAGCTTTACAACGGCGTTTGTTGATAAGTTTCAAACATGTCTCAAGAACGTCAGCCATTGCAAAAGGTAAATTTGGAGGAAATTGATGAAGTCACAGGTTTTTTTGTAGCTGAGGAATACGTCTGGAAGGCTTATGAAAAAGGCTTCTTGACAGCGGGGGATGAAGCTGATGGCGATGTTAATGGTTGGGTAGAGCGTTTTTGTGCTGAGGCTGAGGAAAATGGTACAACGTTTGATCCGAATTTTGTGAAGTCTGTTTGTACTCTTGGTATCTATGCAGGTCTTCGGGACGAATTTTACCAACGCTCTGGTTGTGGCAGGTCAATTTATCCGAATCGTGATGAATATGAAGGTGAATTTTTCCAGGGGAAAAAGCACGGATCCGGACATTACATCTTTCTTAGCAAGGGAAAGAGTGAGATTGATAAAATTGTCGAATCTGAAATTAAGACCAGATACAATGGTGATCTCAAGAAGGCAGATGAACTCGTTATTAGGTCTATCGCAGAGAAGTATCAGATCGGGGTCCATGTAGTTGCCGGCGTGATTGAATATGGGTTCTTCCCATGCTACCACGGAGACTATGTAGCGGGAAAGCGTAGTGGATGTGGCATAATGAAGAATAAGGACGCTACCATCTATAAGGGTGAATTCTTAGAAAACAAGCGCGAAGGTCAAGGTGTTTTTTATTACCTCAATGGAGACATTTACTCAGGAAACTGGAAGGGTGGACTAAAGCACGGCTACGGGACATATCACTTTGTCGGTGGAGGTGAATATCGAGGAGAGTGGATAAGCAGTGTATTTACGCAGGGTCAATGGATTCTACAAGATGGAACATACTACGAAGGTAAATTCGACAAGCTGAACAGACCATTCGATTCTAATGCATCGATGCATTATCCACGCATAAAATTGGCTCAAACTGGTACATTTAAGCGCGGTTTATGGGCACCTACCAGCCAGTTGCAGGTGTGTGATGAAGTTCCCGTGGACGGCATTGCATGGGTTGATTAATACACTCCTCTCGTTCCCACAAGCTATTTATCTATCTTTCTTATGCACACACAAACACGCTGGTATACGTATGCAAGCAACAAACAAAAAATGTATTTCAAACACGAATGGATATGCACATATGCTATTAGTAGGCATTACCATGTATATAAAGTAATATGCAACATGCTAAGTTTGCCTTATTGTTGGATAAATGCATCTTTTTTAATGTTGTTGAAGAGAGAGAGTTTAGTAGTAAAATAAAGGAGCTACAAAACGAATAATTTTGGTGACATCTTGACACTGTTGTCCTATTTTGTTCCATTTCCATTCATAGGTCTGTAGTTATAGTCTAACCCAACTTAATCATAACATACATCAGAAATGGTATACACTCGGTGGAAATGTGATCGTATTCCAATTTTTACGTTGAAGCTCTTTACTCAAGAGTATCCCATTCAAACTTTTGTTGGCTTTTTGTCGATGGTGTTTCTTTGGAAGCATGCTAATTACTGTTCAGAGGAGACGGAACGGAAAAAAGGCTGGTGGGCTGGTTATCCGTATTGGCGTGATCCGATTGCTCGACGTAATGAAATCAAATATAAACAGATTATCAACAATAATAATGTTGATATTACTGATCCAAAGTGGACTGGCTCATCTAGAGAGGAGCTTGAGCGCCTCAAGATTATCGTCTAAGGTAGGAAAGGTTGGCTTCACCAGAAGGTCGTGCTATTTTCACTTAGTTATAATTAGCAAGGATGCGTGTGAGTAGTATAATTCTAGTGTTTCATTTTTTTTTCGATTTTTTAGACTTCAAATATCTGATCATGAACAAAAGATCTTGAATCTGGTGCTTTACGTGTTCAAAATATGTCTGCCCCATCACAAACCTTTTGGAGATCCTTTTTTATTCACACCTATTTTTCATTTCGTGTTTGTTTACTACTTCGGAAAGATGAAAGGGGTGTTAGAATCGCCTGATGAACAATCTCAAGAGTGATGATGTCTCTTAGAAAGTATATTTCCCTATCGTTGTGGTTTAACCTTGGACTCCGCTACTAGGGGGGCACCACGAGCCGCTTTGACAATTTATAGAGGTCCTCTTTTTCCCTGTTCTCCTGCTATACATTGTTCTTCTCAGGCTAATAGCATTGGGACTAAGAATGGCCCTGGCCCAGAACCGATTCCGGACTTCCTACATTACCGTGTGTGTACACATTCCACCCTGTAGCCCCAACAACGTGCGTTTCGACACGATGCACAGTGACTCAGCATTAGACGACTCCTTTAATGTTACCTCACCTAAATACACCCTGTCCTGTAAACTTCTAGTTCTAAGAGAACATATTCCCTGGTCTGCACTGATGCTATGCTGATTCACGTGGCCTTGTGCTCTACAAAGTCATGAGTCGCTTATTTGATACTACTCTAGTGATGAAACGATTCTCCACGGATTTGCCTACGCATCTTTTCCTTAGTGTGAGCTTGCCGTTTTGTCAGGATTCGCTGATGCTTATAGGATAAGACTGTTTCATACGTGAGTTGACATGAATATGCGTATGCTTGATAGGGCAATTACCTCAAGCGTATCTTTCAACCTCGCAATTCTAATTGGTCAGCGGAAGAAGTATCCATTACCGATTGCTTTGTACTTAGTAGATGGTTGTCATCAGTCACACTGGCGATTGCTACAAAGCATCTAATGGTCTTGTTCACGGAGTACACGGTAGTAATATACTTTTTCAACATGCTCCTTGGAAGGTCCTGTGTTTTTCATAGGTTTACTTTCGGTGTTTTTTAGCTGAACTGCTCATTGGAGGTTATAATCGGGTGATTGTGCTTTCTAATCTCACACACATAAGGGTCATAGTGTTCGCCAAAAAGTAGAGAGCCTTTCAGGTGTACCTTACATAAAACGCGAATGAGGCAGTATTCTATACCTCAGCTCGAAATTCCAGAAGAAGAATTGGAAATGTGATATCTCTGTCGAGTTCGTCATTTTTCTTCTAATTATACCGAGTTACTTTATACTTGACTCGCGAGACTTTAGCACTCAAGTGATATCCCTTTCTGAGCAGCAATTACCTTTACCGAACTCATACTACCCTACCGATCAAGTTTAATACTACTACAGGCTACACTACGACACAATTTGCTAATATGAACACTTTTGGGGAAGCTCCTCCAAGTAGCTTAACAGACATCAGGGCTTTTCAGTTCACCTGAACGACGTTGAAGTGGCGCGTGTGTTCAGCGTCCCCATCGACCACATCCCGCATCCACTGCGTTTCCACGCAAATCACTTTCTGTTCTTTTACCTTTGAGTGCAACGAAACGGTCGGCATTCGAATCAAGCCATCGCTATGCATTTTTTCCCAACTGGCTAAGTCTTAGACACTATCCCTTTACAATGCCACAACTATCCGTTGGAAGGTTATCTTCTATATAAGTGAAGTAATTCTTCATTGACACAGGCCAAATTGCAGTTATTCTCGTATGATGATTTGCTACCACATCTATGAGACAGTTGAAGTATGGTCAACGGCTTGATATTATACCGAATTAAGCGGTGCATTCTGCGTCACAGCGTTTTTCTTTTTTACGGAGGATGGTACACTTTTGTTTTACCTATGATGCCCCGTTTTATTTTGTTTTTTGACCTTTGGTAGGTCAGTAAAATCGCATAAGGAACTCCAAGATTTTCGAGCACCTGTTACGTCTGCGCGCAGAGCTGCTTGGTCACCTTCACAATGTTGCCGTAGGTGAAAATGTGGTGCGATTTTTAAAGGTGTTGAACCTTTTATTTCATTGATTTTTTCCGATAACACGTTTTTAGAACCTGAAATCCAAAGGGAAACAGTTCTAAAAGCCCTGGAACTAGACCAACAACCTAAGCTGATATACTAGACACACCAATTTTACTTTTTACTTCAATACCACCCCTTTTTCCTTTATTAACATTGCTATAAGTATATCCATTATCACTAATTTTGGCGAAAATTTCTATTTATTTAATTTCCATATATTCTGATGAATCTAAGTTTCGTTTTTTGTTCTTTATCATTGTAAAGATGAGTTTCGTTTCTTGGTGTGGTTAAGTAAAAAGATCTGGAAAGGGATCTTCATTAATTTCTTTTGTCTCCTTTTTTATTTAGAGAATAGTATATATATATATATTTATATTTATATGCAATATTTTTGATTGGCCGTTGTGTGTTCTACTACATATTCTATGTTCCGTGGGATTTCAAAGGCGGCGACGCATAGATTGACACGCCGAGAAAGACGCCTTTTAACAGTCGCAGATGTTACCAAAAATAAGCGTAGTTTATCTCAGAGATATACTTACAACGAGGCCGTCCGTCAGCTAGCTCGCTTTGACTTGGTACGGAGACATCATCAACATGATAGTGGAACTGGGTTTCAACATCAACACCTCGTGTCTATGGCGACGCCGAGTGACACATCTATGCCGAAGCCATGCTTGAAATTTCAAGAAAACACTCGAACACAAGGACCTGTGTTTTCCTATAGCAGACATAATCATCATAAGCAACGCCATTCCAACTTCTCTTCACATATCTCTAGGACAAACATGTCGACTACCCTTCGTCAAAACTATGATGATCCTGATGAGCTAATAGGTGATAGTCATATTCAACTTAAGTTTGATGAATTGGTTCATACTGCTTTGTTGCGGTACGGCCCACCCCTTCCAGCTGAGTTTGTGTCTGCTAATGATGTTGTTACCGTATCTTCAACCTCACCAATCTCAGCTCAACGACATGGTGATATGTTCACTATGGGTATCGGCGGTTCTAACGAGCGCTTTACATGTAGCATGGATTTGGGTGCAGATAGCGCTAATTATGTAATGTACGATGAGGTGGGGCTCAAGCCGCATGAATTAATGCGCATAATTCGGCTTCATCAGCCTTCTTTTAGCATTCAGGAAGACTGTGACGGTGTTCCATTTTCGCTGCTTGTTAAAAACTGTTCGTACTTTCGGGCTTATGGAGGAAAAATACACTACATGCGGTACTTGCGAAGGAAGCATACAAAAAGTAGTGCGGGCTCAGATAATACGGCCGGAGGGAATGATGATAACTCTTTATTGGTTTCCATTGCCAAGTACAAAATGCGCGAAGTGCCGTCACAGGATGGTGTGCGACAGGGCCCACGGCCATGGCTGTATTCTTACAAGTTGAAATAAGCTAGAGTGGTTGCCTCATGCTTTTGAATTGCATTCGTTGCTGATATCTTCTCTTCATATTAGCAAAACGAGCACTAATAACCAAAATAAAAATAGAATAGCATGAAAAGGGATTGCAAAATGCTTTCACAAGTTCCCATATATATATATATATATATATATATATATATATATATATATATATAT